ATGCACACTGTGGAAGGCAGCAGGCGAAGGCTCAAGTATCGGGATCCCTGCCATCCACAGGGGATACCTGGATTGAGTTCCTGACTCCCAGCTGCAGCGTGACTCAGTCCTGGGTGTTGAAAATATTTGAGGAATGAACCAGTAGATGGGAAGATCTCTCTTCATCTGTCTGTCTCTCTCTTCCTTTCAAATAAAATGAAAGTAATTTTTTTCTTTTTAAAAAATAAGTATTTATTTCATTTAATCAAAAGGCAGAGTTACAGAGAGAGGGGGAGAGAAGAGGGGAGGGAGGGAGGGAGGGAGGGAGATATCCTCCATCCACTGGTTAACTCCCCAAATGGCCACAATGGCCAGGGCTTGGCCAGGCAGAAAGCAGAAGCCAGGAGCTTCATCCAGGTCTCCCTGGGAACCAAGGACCTGAGCCACCTTCTGCTGTTCTTCCCAGGTACATTAGCAGGAAGCTGGTTCGGAAGTAGAGCAGCTGAGACGCAAACCAGTGCTTATATGGGATGCTGGCACTGCAGGCAGCAGCTTAACCTGTTATGTCACGATGCCTGCATCCCCCCTTTTAAGAATTATTTATTTATTTGGAAGTCAGAGTTACAGAGAGAAAGAGAGATTTCACATCTGCTGGTTCAGTCCCCGGATGGTGACAATGGCCACGGCTGGGTCAGACCAAAGCCAGGAGCCAGGAACTTCATCTGGGTCTCCCACATGGGTAGCAGGGGCCTAAACATTTGGACCATCTTCTGCTGATTTTCCCAGGCATTAGCAGGGAGCTGGACTCGAGTGGAGCAGCCAGGATATGAACCAGCACCTATATGGGATGCCTGTGTCACAGATGGTGACTTTACCGCCATGCCACAATGGTAGCCCCAGTAAATGTACTTTTCAAAGCTCATGCAGTAACAATATGGAAAAAAGAAAAGCCTGCATTTATTCATTTCATTTCTTAAACCATTTACTTAAAACATTCACTAATGTGTCAGTCATTGGGCTAGGTTCTAGGGTGACTAATTCATGTCCTCCAAGCAGCCACGACGCAATTAGGTACACAGATTCCTTAAGAATTATTATGTTATAATGTGATAGGTGAAGTGATGAAATGATGGATATACTACAGAAGAAAGATGTGAATAGCTATTAAATCTGAAAAAGCAAAACCAGAAAGAACCCTTCGCCTTTAAAATGTAGGGTTCAAAGGAAGAAATCTAATGATATCACCCATTGTCCATCTATTATGCAAAGCACTATGCTAGGTACAGGAAAGCTAAGATGATTATACTGACACAGGCTCTGTGTTCAAGGGTTTCCAAATTCTAATCAGTATTGCTCCAATGCAGGTGCTTTCAACAGAAGGATAAACTTGATTGTTCAGTGAGCGCCTTTGAAAGCTATGAACTTGTTAAACCCTTCTTATCTTGGAGTTACCAAATTTAAAATATGTATTTTGGGGTGAGGAGGGAGCATCTGACATCCAATCCTGCTGTTCACTGAGTGACTAGAAAAATAATTTCACTTCTCTGAAGCTTCATTTTCTCAACTATAAAAATTGGGGCTAGATTATCTCTAAGGTGATTTTCAGTTTTAAAAACCTGTGCTGACAATCCAAAAAGTAACTATTCTTGCATTACTCATAAGCTGATTAGCAACATCCTAAGTGGAGCAGTTGGGGTAGGGGTGAGGTGTAGGGGGTGGTAGTAGGGACAGCAGGTAAAGGAGGTAGATAAAATAAATCCTCTGTGATCCAAAAAGTCTACTTCTGCTTCAGAGCTCGTGTCTGAAATATTTTCTTCCCGAGAGTGTCATTTTATGGCTTTGATCCTTACTGTACTAAAAATAATCCATAAAGATGTTTCAGCATGTTGTAATTTCTTTAAGTCTTAATGTATTACCAACAGTTGAGGGGGAAGGAAGCAGGGAGAGAGTAGAAAAAGGCTGAGATGGGCCTATAGGATGTGGCCAAGGTCTCCCATTAGAAGCTAAATTTTACCTAGTTATTAAATGAACTAGTTCTAAATTAGATGAACCAGATCTAGACCTAAAATTAGATCTAGTGTTAATGTTGCCTGTATTTGGAAAATGACAAAATTTGCCAATGCAGTCAATGTCTTACATCAGGATCTACAGGCTGGGAAGGGCCCATATGAGCTTCCTCCTTGGTTGGGAATGAGGAACAACTGCTGGGCCAACAGCCTAACTCTGGAAAAGGGCACGCCTACAATGGTGCAGTACTGGCAGGTAAGTGGCAGAAGAGGATCCCAGCCCCTACTCAGATCCTTGCCCACTGAGCTGCTCCCCAGACTAGCCTTCGGGCCACTAGGAAACACAAACATAATTCCACAGTAGCCTTGGTTTTCTGGGGAATTCTACACTTAGCTATGGAAAAGGACTTGCCTTCTGGTCCTTTCTAGCGGCCCATCCTTCATTCTTCTATCCTTAGTTCCTTTCTCCTTCACAAAATCTTCACTGTATCCAAACCCTCCTTATTTGCAGGAGAAGGGAGGGAAGCCTCGGGATAATTGGGCAAAGGCTGATAAGATACTTCCTTAGAGAGGGAAGAGTGGAGGTAGCAGTCCCTGTTGAAGCTCTCCTGAGGGCACAGGTGGAGGAGTGACCTTGGCCTCCATCCAGAACCAAGGTTTGGCACTCCTCTTCCTAGACAAGACCTTTAAGAGGTGAAGGAGGGCAGAGCTCAATGTGAATAGGCAAATCATAAACATTAAGCATGTTCAAAGTCCCAGGTGAGCCTTAAGCACCTTTAGCATAGCTCAAGATAAGGAAAAGTTTGACTGTGGTTCTCTCTCTCTCTCTCTTTTTTAAAGATTTTATTTATTTATTTGACAGGTAGAGTTACAGAGAGAGAGAGAGACAGAGAGAAAGGTCTTCCTTCCGTTGTTTCACCCCCCAAATGGCCGCTAAGGCCGGAGCTGCGCTGATCCGAAGCCAGGAGCCAGGTGCTTCCTCCGGGTCTCCCATGCAGGCGCATGTGCATTTGCCTCACATGCCTCGTCCCCTCAGCCTGCCCTCCTGCCCACTACTCTGGTAATGAAGGGTTGTCTACATTCTACATTATGGCTAAGGACAAAAAATCAGTTAGGCAGCCAAAGCTAGTTTTTTTACATGGCTGTGATTTGCCAAAATCTTTATCTTGGACTGAAATACTGGCCTTTTAATTATTCACTAATGGCCTGTCAGTAAATGATGCATTTGAATTTACAGAAACATGAAAACATTTCAGAATCTTGCATTTTGAGAAGACAGATGGCCCCATTAGTAATTTCACACAATGGCATTAACAGTGGGAAGTAGAACCAAAGTAGAGGAAAAATTCCAAATTATGATTCTGTTCATTTAACCCTAATGGATACATTAGATGGGATTTTTCCAAAGACCTATACAAAGTTGTGATCCATTCATTCATTCTTCAGCACTGAAGGTGACTGTCTGAGAAAGCCTTGGTGAAGACTACAATGTGCTACAGTTACCCAGGCACCACACTAAGGACAGAATTAGGGCCGCAGCTATGTACCTGAACGAGCTTGTATTCAAGCAGAGCTCATTAAATCCTTTACCCCTTAAAACCTTCAGATAGGGGCCAGCGCTGTGGCGCAGTGGGTTAACGCCCCGGCCCGAAGCGCCGGCATCCCATATTGGCACTGGTTCTAGTCCCAGCTGCTCCACTTCCGATCCAGCTCTCTGCTATGGCCTGGGAAAGTAGTAGAAGACGGCCCAAGTCCTTGGCTCCGGCACCCGCATGGGAGACCCGGAAGAAGCTCCTGGCTCCTGGCTTCGGATCAGCTCAGCTCCAGCTGTTGTGGACATCTGGGGAGTGATCCAGCGGATGGAAGACCTCTCTCTCTGCCTCTCCTTCTCTCTCTGTATAACTCTGACTTTCAAATAAATAAATAAATCTTTTAAAAAAAACTTTCATATAAAACTATCTAATTGAATTAGAAAATCCTGTAAGGTTGGCAGGTCAGACATTAGTCCCATTTCCTACATCAGAAAACTGAGCCTCAGATCAGCTGGCTGCCTTGTCCTCAGGGAAGGATCAGAAATGGAACCAAGTTCCCAAACTGGGTAAAAACGTGGAAAGGAGATTCCCACCAGAGGCAAAGATCCTTAGGTCCAAAAGCATAGAGATACCAGAAAGAGCCAGAGGAGTCTGCCCATGCACACCTAATATGAAAACAGATGGCATGCTAAGAGGATTTTATTATTCCATATTGGCTTTCTGCCCTTTGTATAGCCGAAGTTGCTAGAGGAATGAAAAAATCAGCGATCACACGGTGCACAATTCCCGTTACTCTTCAGCCACCCAGCTCTCTACCCACCTCCAGAGAGCCCGGCCCGCTGCTTGCCCTCCCCACCGACTTCTAGGATTAGTTGTCCTTCGGGGGACACCTTCCACAAGTCCCCAGACGTCTTTCCTCCTCTGTGCTCCCTCAGTAGGCCTGACCTAATTGCACTGCAGTGTTCCAACACCCGCCGTCTATTTTACGCCCCCACCCCTCCACCGCATCCCAGAGGCAGCGACTACCACCACGTTCTGTTTCAAAAAGCACAAACCACAATCCCCACCACCGTGCTCGGCACAGCAGCTGCCGTTTAATAATTGTAAAGAAGCCAAACAGAACATTGCTTTTAAGCTGAGGGGAAAACCAAACCGACTTTTCTCTACTCCGGCCTCAAGTTGTTTTCCCGTAGGCCAGCAGGGCCGGGGAAGGCTCGCACTCTCGCTGGTGGCAGGCCGCCACCCTGTGGACGTGTTTACGCACTGCAGGCGGCCGCCCTTCCTCGGGCTGTCCCTACCTTCCTCGATGAGTCGGCCACTTGGGACTCCTATTAAATCGATGACTTCCCAGAACCTGCCCTTGAGGATTCTGGTTCAATGGGTTGGGGATGAACGACTCAATTATTTGTGGTGTTCACTTGTACTCCAAGGAAGTATACTAATCACCTCTGTTTCAGTCGCTTACAGAATTCGGAATAATTACCTTCCTCCAAGAAAGAAACTGGATCTGACGAATATCTAGAGTATCCTACTCGGCAACCTTTAGAGCAGCGTTCCCTTCTCAGGAGCATGATTCAAGGGAGGGCCGGGTTTGAGGGGGAAGGCTACAGGGCACCCAAACTTCAGAACCGTTCTGGCAACGTGCGCTCAACTATGTCACTGGACCGGGTGCTAGGCTGACGATCTGCACACTCCGCATCCGGGTCCCTCTGCTCCCAGGTGAGGCGGGCACGCAGCTGTGCAGTCCACACCGACCCTGCACGCAAAATGACAGAACCGGGGGAGGCCTTTCTGAAAGCCGGAAAGCCGTCCTAGGCAAGGAGAGCTGAGGAAAAACGGGCCCGACATTTTATCCCTATTTTCACCCAAGCCGCTAGGCTTCGTCGTAGTGAGAGGTAGGGCAGAAGCTGCCCATCTGCCTAGCCGGATCCAAGTCAGCCTCTCCTGGTTAATCAGGGTCTAGCGGCTCGGGCAGGACAAAAACACCAGCGAGTTTCCGAAGAGGAAGTCAGTCTTCAGTCACTCGTGACCTATGAAGTCCGCCCAGGCCACAAAGATGGTGGGTCCCTGACAGTCCCCGACACTTCACAACGTCTTCTGTGAGGAACGGGTGGGACTCTTCCTAAAGCAACCCCACACAGATGAAACTGCTCGCGCAAAGACACCCTTCCCCGGCTACCAGCAAACTTCCGAGCCGGCCAGGCTGGCTCCCGGACGCCCCGCGGGGCGTCGCTGCGCAGACGCACTAGCGCCCGGAGGCGTGGCAAGGCTGGTCACGTGGGCTCCGCGGGCCGCTCCGCGACTTCCCTACAAGGACTTGGGCTAGCGGGCCCCGCCCTTCGCCGCGCCCTGGAATGTGCCGAGAGGCCAAGCCACAGGACAGACGCAACCATCCGCCGACCCGAGGGGGGGACGGAGAGTTCCACTGCAAGAAGAATTACAAAAAAACGAGAAAACTCGGGAATTATAGCCAACGAGCCGGAACACACCCTCTGTTTTCTAAGTCGCTCGCTTTATACTTGCTTCCCGCGCACTCGGTCAATATTGCGCCTGCTATCAATCACACCGGCCACCTCCCTCCCGGTTACCCTTGCGTTAAGTCAGGCCCATTCTGTCGGCCAGGAATGGTGACTGGGCTTCCTTCCGGTTTGCAAAGCAAAGGCCGGAAGTGTTGGCTTGTAGCTGCTCTCCGTGTGGCAAGGTGGTGGTGGCCGCAGCGAACGCTTCCCCGAGGCTCTCTGGTTCTCGCGCGTGTGTAGGGTGAGTGGTGCTCGCGGGAGGGCGCGGGAGACCCAGCCCGTGCGCTCGTCTCTGCGGGGCGGCTGCGACAGCAGCGGCCGTCCGCCGTGGTTCTCCGGCTCCGGCAGGGCACCTGGACAGGTGTACCAACCGGACTCCCGGTTACGAGCCGGGGGCTAGCTTCGGGATGGAAGGCCGCAGGCGGAAGCGGCCCCGACTCTCACTTCGCTCCTGTGCCCAAACTTGGAGTTCGGGAAATGTGGCTTAGCTCGCTGGCGCCTTGAGCTTGGGCGACTGCCGAGCCCGCGAAACCCGAGACTCAGGGCGCTGACTCCGGGACTATGTTTAGCTTCTAACGTAAATTTGCCCGATTCCAGAGCGTTTGCGCAAAAAACGGAGCCCAGTGTTCCCCGAGCTGCAGCTGTGCAAGTGCGTCTGGAACTCAACTTGGATTTCGGCACCCGTAATCGGGACTTTGCTAAGTGATATATGGACAAAAAGGGACTTGGGGTTTAGTTTGCGGCTCGGGCAAAAACTCCAAAATGCAATACCATGTCTTGGGTGTAGACTCAGGGCTAAGTCAGTTCTCCAAAGAAGTGTCGTTTATGAAAGCGTGTGTCCGTTCTTGAGCGAACTGGAAGAGAAGTACGCGTTCAGATTAGATATTAGCTTTTTAAATGCAAAAAGTTTCATATGTAAACATGAAGAAGGCGAATATTTCTTAAAATTGCTGTTATCTGTTTTGTGGTCCGGAAGCACTTTGGTAAGAGTTACTTTGTCTAGTGGTAAGAACTTTAGGGTGTGGCAGTCTTAGAGAACTGGTCCTACTCCCAACCGGAAGTTTGAATAAGATGTGAAAACTTGGTATAGTTAGACCAGAAGCACCAACCTGAAAACTATCTTTAAAAAATTGTAGTTAGCGCTAAAAATTACTTATCTTGAGAAAAAAAAATGGATTGAGATGGTAGATTTGGTCCGGATTTGGAAAGCGGACCAAATTCTGGGTGCTGCCACATGCTTGCTAAAATGGGAGTTTTTCATTAACGAACATATCATATTTCCTGGAATAGTATCGTTTGTTCTGTCAAAAACTCTAGATTATTTTATATTTATTACCATTTTACAAATGGTGGACTCTGGGTTTTTTAAGTAAAGCAATCGAAAGTATATATTAGCATGGATTATCCCTATTTTATGGATTATGTAGGTTTTTCAAAATCTCTTTCTGGGTTCCTAGCCCTGAAAAGTCTTCTGGCTGCCCTTGGTGTGTGGAGAGAGAGCATTTTTTTTTTATAGTTTTTTTAATTCATTTAATAAATGTGAATTTACAAAGTGCAACTTTTGTATTGTTGTGGCTCCCCCCCCAACCTCCCTCCTTCCCGTGGCCCTCCCCTCTCCCACTCCCTCTCCCATCCCGCCCTTCATCGAGTTTCATTTTCAATTACCTTCATATACTGAAGATCAACTTAGTATATACTAAGCAAGGATTTCAACAGGCTGCACTCACACAACCGCACAAGGTATAGGGTATTGTTCGACTAGTAGTGTTGTTTTTAAGTTTCATAGTAAAACACATTAAGGACAAAGATCCTACATGGGAAGCATATACCCAGTGACTCCCATTGTTGATTTAACAATTGGCACTCTTATTTATGACGTCAGCAGTCACCCGAGACTCTTGCCATGAGCTGTCTAGGCTATGGAAGCCCCTTGAGTTCACCAACTCTGAACTTGTTTAGTCAAGGCCATATCACAGTGGAGGTTCCTTCCTCCCTTCAGAGAAAGGTGCCTCTCTCCTTGATGGCCTGTTCCTTCTGCTGGGTTCTTGTTCACCAGGATCTTTCATTTAGATTGTTTTTTGCCACCGTGTCATGGCTTTCCATGCCTGTGAGACTCTCATGGACCTTTTAGCCAGATCCGAATGTCCCAAGGGTTGATTCTGAGGCAGGAGTGCTGCCATTCTATGAGTCTGCTGTGTGTCCTGTTTCCCCCACAGGATCATTGAGAGAGCATTTTTGAGGATGTCTCTGTCTTGTGTTTCTCCCACCTCTTAATCTAGTCTGAGATCTTCTTGGTTTTCGTCTCTCCTTTTGTTTTAGCCCATAATGATTCATTTAGCCTATCAAGCAAAAAAAAAAAAAAAAAAAAAAAGCCACAGATTCTTTGCTACCAGCATTCCCTCCTCTGACTTAGAAAGTCGTGCTTCTTTAGGTCTGTAAACTGGATTTCCTCCTCAGTTCGTGGCTGCCCTTCATTCCCTTTCTTGTGCCTCTGAAGTCCTCATATGTTTTGTAGAAGCCTGCTTTGCAAGTCACCCTGCTCTCAAATTTTTTTTTTATGATATAGGTGATTTCTTTGAGTTACAGAGAGAGGTAGAGACAGATTTTCCACCCGCTGGTTCACTCTCCAAACGGCAGCAAGGCTGGAGCTGAGCCGATCTAAAGCTAGGAACCAGGAGCCTCTTCCCGGTCTCCTACCTGAGTGCAGGGCCATCTTCTGCTTTCCAGGCGCAGTCGCGGGGAGCTAGATGGGAAGTGGAGCAGCTGGGACTCCAACCGGTGCCCATGTGGAATGCCAGTGCCTCAGGCTTTAACCTGCTGTGCCACAACGCCGGCCCCATTGCTGTCAATTTTCACAAGACAAATACCCCTCCACATCAAAGATCTTTCATTCAATCCTTCAAAAATACTCAACTTTGAGTGAAAATCTTATAATTTGGAAATCTCAGATGCTTACCTGACCGTCTTCCTATACATCTCAAACAAAGAATACTTAATTGATTATGAAATATTTCCAATCTTATTTCATCATTTTTTTAAACTTACTTGAGAGTTGTGCATTTGTTGAAGTCTTGTTATATGAACAGTTGGGGAGAAAGTAAAATTCGTAGCAAACCAGTCATGGCAAAGAGGACACTGGCCATACCAGAAATGATTTACTCCTTGTGATCCTGATTTGAATCCTACCCATGTTTATTCTACTCATTCTTTGAGTTCGGTAGAAAATAGTCCCACCACAGGATTATAAAATATATTTATTTTAGAATAACTGCGAAGCTGGACTTCTGCTAAAAGGCCGTTTTGAAACCAGAAAGGTCAGAAACCAGCCTTTTTGAAAAAGGCTCAGATAGTCACTTCCCTAACATTACACTGTTGGTTTCTGATATAATTAACTACCTTGATTTGTTAGCACTAAGCCAAAAACCTGAATCTTTTAATTCCAAACATATCATGTACTTTTTAAATGATAGTTTTTTTTTTAAGTCTCTCCTTCTCCTATCCCAATCTTAAAGAAACCCATGAAGATCTTTTCTGCATGCAGAGTGTTTGAAAATCATGTGCCACCTTATGAAGTATTTTTCATTATTGCCACACATTGTTTTGGCTTTAGAGTCATACCTTTGGAATGAAAACTATGGGACTCATTTCCTAAGTTGAACCAGTGACCACATTTCTTGATAGTTGTCTCCTCAACTATATTTTAAGCTTCTTGAAGATCAGAAACATGTCTTAAATTTCTTAATTTTTAACTAGTATTCAGCAGTAATGACATTTGATACACTTTAGCATAATTAACTGGTCATAGTAAAGTTGATAAGATTAAGTATTGAATGAGTTAAAGAAAAGTTCTGTGTGAGACCAGTCAGTTCTGATGGAAAAAAACCTACTTTTTAACTTTGAAAAATGTCTAGTGCATTTATAAATTTAAAAAAAGCATGATTAAAAGAATACAAAATACATCAAAATTCAAAACCACACAATGAACTTAAAACTTTACAGTCAAAACTGTAAATACATTTTTAAAAAGGAATCTAGAGGACCCTGTAGTAACCTGAGATTTTGTAGATTAAAAAATTGGTCTGTTAACCATTTGAGTTGAGCTCTTATTATAAGTTTCTTTGTTCTTAAAGTAACTGACATTTCTGCATTATCAGGGAAAGACAATGTTGTCAAACAAAACAGTATTTTTAAAGACAAGCAAAGGCAAGCCATGTCTAAAATATTCGAGAGTTATAAACTGGTAAATATGTACCACTTATTGGGCCTCAGCCACTTACCCTAAGGCTTTGAGTGCATTTCAGAGATGGAGGAATAATACTTCATAACTCCTTGTAGTTTTTAAAAACAGCACTTTGAATTGAGAGGAAAAACAGTAGCTCTACATAGTTTAGATGATAATGGGATTTATTGCCTCCCAAAAGTGTAGAGAATGAAAATACATGTTCTTGAGTGCTTTAGATAAGTCATGAAAGGCATCCACCTAAAAATATGTAAAGGAAACAAGGAAATTCAGGGGAATATACATAATCATTTCTGTGTGGTGGATGGTATATCTTTCCAACAACACATTCCAATGTGTTGCCAAGAGTGCTATATTGGATGGACTGGAATTTGTGACTACCCTGTGGAATTTCCTGCTAAAATCTGAAGACAGATAACTTAAAAAATTTAAGGCAGAGTTTTCACT